ACAATGTCAGGGAAGCATCTTATTTCCAAAGCTGGAGTTCTACGACACAGGTATCCCAACCTGAGATCAGAATTATCTTGTAGATCTCACCACTTTACCTAGTGAACATCCAAACTGCTGGTTATACTCCTAGACACCCTCCTTCCCTGATTGTATCACAGTCCCTTCCTGGGTGGGCTCCCATCCAGGTTGGAAGAGAGGGGAGACAGAGTCACCCAACCAAGGCTTCTCTGCAAAGTGTTTCACCTCACAAAAGGGTTTTGCCAGAGTTTCATCTAAGTATAATAATTCTTAAGTAACACCGCAAGATGGAATGTTGAATATTAAAAAACATGCTACCTCTGTTTCACTGCCTGCTTTGTTTTTTTTTAATTTTCAAAAATTATCTTTCATCATATCAGCACACAGCCCCTTTTAAACCTGTCCTTAAGCAATGAGGAGACAGTGTTGCTTACAATTTTACTTTCTGGCTCTCATGGGCAGACATAAAATACTTAATTTGTTTTCAACTGGATTAAACTTTCTTCTTTAAACTTTAGATAGATTTCTTATTTCTCCATAACTCCCACTGGGGGTTCAAACTTAAAGAAACTGATGACCTGAAAAAGTCAACTTCATGCCGAAGTCAGCAAGATGAAAAACGAAATTTAACATTTTGCTCGAGAATATTTGCATTGCATTCCCGTTAGCTTTTGCAAACGCAACATTTCTCACCCTCCTGAGTTGGTTGCAAAGGTGCCCCGGAAAGAGAAACAGAGTTAAGTGCCTCTCTCTAATAGGTTAACATACTGAACTGCTGTAAAGGGAATAAATGGTGCACTTCAGGGGCAATTAAGGTAGGGACTTCGGGGTGGACTCCTGGTGGAAAGGACTTAAAAGGAAATGCTGCACCGACAGTGAAACGTTCTGCTCACATTAAATATTTTCGCCCAAATCTTAAATATGACCGAATGATTTGAAGGCCTACTTGAATGTACTCTTGATTAAAGTAAGTTGCAGAAGGCTGATGTCAAGTAATAAATACATGTGGAGTGCACTATGTTCTACAAATACTTTCAGGTCTGCTGGTAGAAATCAGTGGTTATGTAACAAGTTGATTTCAAAAATTACACCTTTTACAACATCCAGATAAAACAGACGAGGCCAAGTCACTAAACATTCTTGCAATTGAAATGGAAGGAAATAAATTAATTCTTTGCTTTTGGGGGGGGGGGGGAGAAGGGCTTATGATGAGACATCTGTGCCAATCTTCCTGAATAACTAAGTTAGGGAGGAAAGACAAATTTGGTGACTGTGGGGGCTAAAGAACTAATTTATAGTCCTCTGAAATAGAAGGCGGTGCCTGGTGGACATAGGTATCCACGGTTACTTCGTTTGGCTGGGCCGTGAGCAGTTAAAGCCAGTGGTTCTCCCAGTTCACCCAAACGCGAGATCTTTTTTTTTTTTTTTTTTTTTTTTTTTTTTTGCCTTCCTGCTCTGCCTCTTTGGTTCTCTCCAGCAGCACCTGCTCTTTGCGGCCACGGAAAGTTGGGGATCGTTCTTCTCACTCTCCAGACCCCAGAGTACCCAGCTCAGATATCGCTGGCCGAGCTCCTGGCCCCCAGCACCTGGGAGGGGTCTGGCCTCTCAGCGACCCGCCCCAGGCCTCGGGGGCCCCCAGCTCGCTAGTCCAGGTCGCCGGCCCTGTCCCCGAGGCCTAGCGCAAAGAGCTGGCGTCGTCGGCTTTGGAAAGCAACTCAGCTCCTTCCGCCGGCGCAGTCCCCGCGCCCTGGGTCCCGGCTGGGGC